GCGACAGAGTGAGACTCCCACTCAAAAAAATAAAATAAAAAAAAAAAAACGAGGAACAGTGAGGAGGCCAGCATGGTTGGGACAGAGTCTTGAGCAGGAGTGCTTGGATGTGAGGCTGCCACATGCTTTGTGATCACATTTGCATCAGGGCAAGTTCAAAAGAGTGAGGAGAGGGTGCCGCGGGTGGCAGTGGCAGGACCCTTGTCATGCAGGGCAGTTTGTTGTATGCAGCTAGGACCATCCAGGAAACTTGAGTCTTTGTGCCCTAGGCCTTACAGTAATGCTGATGCTAAGACCTGGTGCGAGGACCAGGGCCTCACGCCACCTAATGAGTCTTTCCTTGGCTACTTTGATGTGTATCTGAACTGTGTGCATTGGTAGGTGCTATTTGGTCAGTTTCTGGCAACAACAGAGAAATCACAAGAGCTGTTCACGTAGTTTGGGGTAAGACAGTAAAGTATAAAGACCAGCTGTGGGCTAGGAGGAGCTAAATTTATGGCAGAAAATGACACTGGTCTCTCCCAGTGTCTGACTGGGATTTGGATATCTGGAAAGGCCTGCTTCATCTCCTATCTCTTCTCTCTTTGCTTTTCCATTCCCTTGCTTACCTTTCCCTGATGAGAGGAGCCAGTTGATTTTGGTCCCCATTGCCAAGCCTGTCAACTCAGTATGTGAATAACTGAAGTCTCTGTTTTTTCCAGCGTGCCAAGGGAGCCTTGCAGAGCATTACTGCAGGCCAGAAGGTCATCAGCAAGCATAAGAATGGACGCTTCTACCAGTGTGAGGTGGTCAGGCTCACTACCGAGACCTTCTATGAAGTCAACTTTGATGATGGCTCCTTCAGTGACAATCTTTATCCTGAGGACATAGTGGTAATATCTGCAAGGAGCATCTTGGACAGTTTGAGACAGGGGATGTTTCTAGGTCTAGGTGACAGACTGTGGGTCTGCCTTGCCTTTTCTTGCCAGGTCCCATCAGTCAATTCCCAAATAGAAGTATTTGTACTCGTCTTCCCTTGCAAAGAAAATTGTGTGCTGCTAGGGTACCATTCTTCCCCTAGAAGTTTGTGGGAATCAGCATTTCCTGCAGTTCTTTGAAACATGCATATATTTCAGTATAAACAATCCTTGAAGGTGTTCTAGCACCATAAAAGAGCCCAGGCTTTGGAATCAAACCAGTGTGCCAATACCAGCTTTTATTGGTAGCTTTGTGATCTTAGTAGAATTATTCAGCTCTTTTCTACCAGGTCCTCTTAGTAGGTGTATATAGAATCTGCCTTTGTCTCTTCACAGTGGAGGGCTTTGGGACTAAGTAGAAACTGGTTGGAGATGCCCCTGGCCTGCTGATGTTATCAACACCCAAGATACTAGAGACCCTTCCTGGACCCAATCCTCGGTTTCCTGGCTCAGAATGCAGGACTTAGTTTAGGTTTCCTTTACCCCCACCTGCCTTTTTATGCAGTAGACTAAGCACCAGCGTGGAATGAAATAATTTCTTCCTTTAACATATTGGGTATTTCCCATGTTTATACCACATTAGCAGCTTAATTGCTAAAAGCACATTTATTAGTTTTAATGTAGACTTATGTCATAGTAAAGTCGATATTAGTAGTATTTGTAGTAGTAGTATAGCTATGATTTATTAAGCTCTTACAGTATTCCAGGCACTATGCTAAGTACTTTGTGTCAAATTCTCTTTCCTATCTCATATCAGCTCTGAGAAGTAGGTGGTATTATCTTTAATTTACAGAGCAAAGATCTCAAGACTCCTTTTTTAAAGTTATTCAGGATCCCAAAGAGTTTGTGTTTTTGTGTGTTATGTCTATCAATATTTACTCTGTTAAAAATTAAAACTGAGGCTGGGTGTGATGGCTCATACCTGTAATCCCAGCACTTTGGGAGGCCGAGGCAAGAGGATCACTTGAGCCCAAGAGTTTGAGACCAGTGTGAGCAGCATAATGAGGCTTTTCTCTACAGAAAATACAAAAATTAACTGGGTGTGGTGGCGTGTGGTCCCACCTACTTAGGAGGCTGAGACAGAGGGATCACCTGGTGAAAATGCCATTGCACTGTAGCATATATGACAGAGTGAGACCCCAACCCAAAAAAAAAGAAGAAATGTAAAACTAGGATTAAATAATTCAAAATGATCCATTTTTAAAGGAAAAATAGGGAGTTTTTTTGAGTCGGGATTTCACTCTGTTGCCCAGGCTGTAATGCAGTGGCACAATCACAGCTCACTGCAGCCTCAAACTCCTGAACCTTGGCTCAGGTGATTTGGCACACTTCAGCCTCCCGAGGATCTGGGACTACAGGTGCACGCCACCACACCTGGCTAATTTTTTTTAAGTTGTAGCAAGGAGGTCTCACTGTGTTGCCCAGGCTGATCTTGAACTTTGGACTCAAGCACTCCTCCCACCTCAGCCTCCCAAAGTGCTGGGATTACAGGTGTGAGCTACCACACCCAGCCTTGGAAAAATAACTTTTCTAAAAAAAAAATGATTAGTGAGAAGAATGCCATTTTTCTACAATTTTGTACATCTCTTTCATATCACTTCTCGTTTCAATCAGTTGTGATACAGTTTTGGCTAAAGTACAGGAAGAAAATTCAGCCTCACACATATATGTAGTTGGAAAGAGGAAAAGTATTTTAATAGCCTTTCAGATAATTGTGATTATCCTTCTCTAAGACTCTACCAAAACTCAACACATGGCAGTTTTTTAAAAGTTAGTTGTGGTGTGGAATCTGAAAGCAGGTCAATGACTTTTCTATACACTGTTAAGATCAAAGCCTATTGGTCTGTCTTATTCTTGGAATGGGTCCTTTATCCATACATGACTTCATAGTATCATATATTAGTCATTTAGAAAATATTGGAGCCAGGTTCGGTGGCTCAGCCTGTAATCCCGCGCCTTTGGGAGGCTGAGGTGAGTGGATTGCCTGAGCCCGCGGGTTCGAGGACCCGCCTGGGCAGCAAGACCTCATCTCTACAGTAAATCAAAAAAATCAGCCGGGCGTGGTAGCACATGCCTATAATTCCGGCTACTTGGAAGGCTGAGGTGGAAGGATCGCCGGAGCCCAGCAGGTCGAGGCTACGGTGGCCGGGAGCGGCCACTGCACTCCAGTCTGGGCGACAGAGTGAGACTCCAACTCAAAACAAAACAAACAAACAAAAAGAAAATATTGGGCTGGGCCAGGCACAGTGATTCAAGCCTGTAATCCCAGCACTTTGGGAGGCTGAGGCAAGAGTATTACCTAAGCTCAAGGATTTGAGACCAATCTGGGCAATGTGGTAAGACTTTGTTTCTACAATAAACCAAAAAAAATAAACCGGGTGTGGTAGCACGTGCCTAAAGTTCAAGCTACTTGAAAGACTGAGGTGGAAGGATTGCCTGGGCCCAGCAGGTTGAGGTTGTGGTGCCTGGGCAATAGAGTGAGACTCCAACTCAAAAAGAAAAAGAAAATATTGGGCCATTGCCTTACTAGACTCTGGTGTGCTGTGTGCTCTTTGAGCTATGCCCGCCACCATGTTTCCTAAGCTCTGCTCCCCTCTTCTACCTTGGAGAGGTGAGCTAACTCTCTCTCTCTCACCTACTTTCTAAATAATCTATGTTTTCTAACCTAAAAGGAAGAAAGAAAAAAAATATTGGTGCACTGGGTTATGGAGAACTTCCAAATGTTTTTCACGTTATTGTAAATATTAAAAAAACACATTTCTTAGTATCACTGATCTCATCAGAAAACTTTATATTTTGGGAAGCAAAATGTGAATGCAGCTGTCCTGAAATTCTAATTTTTGCTTGAAAGCTTGAATTTTATCATTGGCAATAGATATTGACTTTTGTTTTCTTTGATAGGACAGGCTCACTTCATTCATTTTCAAGATGTCTGCCAGATACCCAAGTCTGAATAACCATAGTTTGTCAATTCATTTTTATCAAATAAAACTGATGTTCCATGAAAAACCAACTAGTGTAGCCCACAACTCAAACAATGCAGGCATTTTTCCTCAAGACAACCAAAGTCTCTTAAGAGTACTTATACACTCAATGATTAATAGTTAACAAAACTCAGATTCATGGAGAAACAAGCAAGTAAAAAATAAAGATTTAGCAAAACTCATGTTTTTTACTGCTTCATCAAGGGACCTTGTTAGGTGAAACTGAGTTCTTGCTTTTTCCCCTAAATTATGAGTGTATAGTGGTAGAAAATGCAATACCAACTAGTAGAGCTTTGGGCCAATGACTGCAGTGGTACCCATCATAGATTTGATACCATCACTGCAAATGTCAACATAGTGAAAAAGGCTATTGTTAATATTGTTATGAAGTCCATCATGGCTTCACTTCCTCCCTGGCAGTGTCTTAGGAAACACTCAGAGGTTCTTAGACTACACTTTGACAACTACTGTTATAGGATATGGAACTGAATAGCAGATAACTTAAGTAATTTATCAAAACTTACACATCAGATTTAGGGGCCTGGTGGGGTTCTGTAATTTCTATTTGACTGTAAGATTGATACAAAATATATTTGTTGGCTGGACACAGTGACTTGCGTCTATAATCCCAGCACTTTGGGAGGCCAAGGCCAGGAGGACTGCTTGAGCCCCTGTAGTCCCAGCTACTTGGGATACTAAGGTAGAAGAATTGCCTGAGCCCAGGTTGATGCTGTTGTGATCATGTCACTGCACTCCAGCCTAGGCGGCAGTGAGACCTGACCTTAAAAATTTTTTTTTAATGCATATACATATATTTGTTGATTACCTACTCAATAAATGAATTGGCAATACAGCATAGAACTGTTTCTGCTCAGCAAGTGAACTGGCAGGACAGGACAGAACTTTTCCTAACTTGCTGTCATGTACCATGATTTGTAAGATCAGTTGTGAATATCCACATCTTTTTAGACTCACTACCCTCACCCCCCTCTGATGTGCACTTTTTAAGCCATGTCTCTGAGGACCTTCTCCTAGGTCTGCCTTTCATTCAGTCAACATGCTTGTACTGTTGCTTCCCACTGTATACCAAGCCCTGTGTTGGGAATACAGTGAGGACTCACCTTAGGGTTCCCACCTGCATCTGAAGGAGTTAAAGTTCTAAAGTATTTTTGCCAAGTCCTGTGGTAGGTGATCCTTTCTTTTCTTACCTCTCCTATTCAGAAGACGTTTCTTTTTTTTTTAAGTTGGAGTCTCACTCTGTCACCCAGACTGGAGTGCAGTGGCCG